TTTAAAAGAACACTACAGGCACCCAGACCACTTCAGCTCATTGAAGTGGTCAGGGTGCAGTGGCCCTTTTGCACTTAGTGCTGCAATTTTAAACATTGCAGTTCCAGAGTAATTGCAATGGTTACATTGCAGTCTACTAGATAGCCACTAGAGGGCTTCATGCATCGTAACAAGCCTTTGGTCCGGTATCTGACGCTAGACGTCCTCACGCTCTGCATGAAGACATCCAGCATCAAACTTTTCCCCACAGGAAAGCATTTCCTATGGAGAGGTCTAATGCACCCGCTCTTTGCAGGACAGAGGAGTAGGCAGAGCCACGACTCCGTGCCGACATACACCGGTAAGATAAAGGGTTTTTAACACTTTATTCCCTGGGTGGGAGGAGAAACAGAGGGAGCTATAGTGCCAGGAACGCAGCTTTGTATTCCTGGCACTATAGTATCCCTTTAAGTGCAACCAGAAAAGCCACACAGGAAAGACTCAACTACAGTGTTTAACTATTTAGACTCCCCCTCTGTGCAATAAAAGAGTGTTTAAACTCACCTTTCTCATGCTGCACTGGTAACACTGTGGATGAATCCGCCTCTATGGCTGAAATCATCAATCTTGATGATCTCGGCAAATCCAATGTTTTCCCATAGGGAAGCATTGGGAGGCTACTGAACATGAGCGGAAAAATGCTGCTCTGGTCCAATCAGCATCTACTTGTAAAGATGCATTGAATCAAAGGGGACAGGCTATAGACACCAGAACAACTACCTTAAGCTGTAGTGGTTCTGGTGACTATAGTGTCCTTTTAATTATACAAGTAAACATTTCTATGTGTTTACATCATTTGACTGGGGAGTAGTTTTCTTGACTGGATACTGTTTTACACTAAACCATTTCTGCAGTACTCTTTAAAAGAAAACTTAGATTTATATTAGAAATACTGTTTGTTGATATGGTATTTCTCTTGCTGTATTAGCATTTGCATGTTAAAGGGATACTGTAGGCACACAGACCACTTCAGCTCATTTAAGTGGTCTGGGTGCAAACTCCCAGCACCCTTAACCCTAGAGTTGTAATTATTGCAGTTTTTACAAACTGCAATAATTACCTCTCAGGGTTAACTCCTCCTCTATTGGATGTCTACCAGACAGCCAGTACACGGACCTCCGAGCTTGAAGGCGACTTTTGGTCGCCTAAACAACGCTGGACGTTTTCATGCTATGCATGCTTCCAGGGCACCAGAATCCCCACAGGAAAGCATTGAATAATTATTTCCTATGGGGAAAATCATAATGCGAGTGCGGCCATTGCCACACATGCGCATTAGGTCTCCCCCGCTGGACGTGGGCGGAGCGGAGCTGAGCCAGCGCCGAGGGACATCGGGGCTGGACTAAGGTAAGTGACTGAAGGAGATATTAACCCCTTCTGCACCACGGGTGGGCCGTGACAAAGTTAGTTCTCCTGGCACGATAGTTTCCCTATAAATACATACATAGAAAGAGGATACTACACTACATTCAGAAATGCAAAGCTAGTATATTAGCTGTAGATTTCTTCTAAAAAAGGATCAAACTTATTTCAAAATATATGGTTTTATTCCTTTTTTTTTTTTGCAAATCTGTTTTTATTGAAGAAAAAGAATTAGGCTCGCAGGCCTCAATGGAAAGCAGTATTACGTGTTACAACATATGTTAGTCTTCAGAACAATACATTGGAGGTTTCCCATAACTTCAAAGCTTTTACACTCCGATATCAGTTTAAGGCATAGTTAGCGTACATGTTATTTGCACAAATACAGCACAAAAGAGCATTTTCAGTAATTGTTTGCAGGACATTATCTAGTGTGTTTGTGTGGGGCATGTTCCACATTTGGTGCTCGACCCCCTAGATATAGTCAGGCAGATGTTGCTTTCAGTCGTCAGGTTAGTGACATATCCCTGAGAGACATATGAGAGTAACAAGAAATATAATGTGTTGTAGGGTGAGAAGAAGAAAGTTAAGGAATGATGTGTAGGTATGAGGAGAGTCTTCCCTGGTGTCCGCACTCTCCATGGTTTTATTCTTTCACCAACGTTTGAATGATTATATTGATCTCTTTACAGAGAAATTACTAGTAAACACAATCTACATAGAAGACAACTTACTCAGTAACTGCATCCAATTCATTTCCTTGGAGATCACGTAGAAGGGCCTTGAGCCGCTCCTGATTTTCAGTGGTCATGTGCAAAGTCTGAAGTGGTGTGCTGGCCGCAGAGTTAATGCGAGGTTGTGATGTACGCCTAGGAGCATAGCTAGGTCTGCATTGTAAAAATAAAACAAAACAATGCAAAAATTTTTTTTTTTTTTTAAATGGTAAAACATTAAGAGGTGACATTCCCAGACTCAAGATATTAGATGATTTGCCTAACTCAAAGGGTTTAAATACCATAGCCCGCACTGCAGACTGCTTCTATACTTGAATTCAGTGGTCATGTACTTTGAACCAGTGGAAAATAATGGGAGAAAACATCTTGCTGTACTTCGATGGCAATTATAGGCTGATAGTAAAAGGGATTTAAACCAGTGATCTCAATACATCTTGCAATCCAAAGCATCTTTGGATGGCAAGATAGATCTAAAGCACTAGTTTAAATCTCTCTAATTGGCTAATGTAGTTATCCACACATTTTAGTACAATATAAAATAAATTAAATTAAAAAAAGAAGGAAAAGACTAAACTTTATAGAAAATAAAATAATAAGCTTAATCTACCTTCTGGGGGGAAAATACAAATGTGCTGGTTATTAAGAGTATAGGTTTACTAGTGATATTATTAAAAGTAGAGGTTTTGGTTTTATAGTTTTTTTTGCTTGCTTTTGCCGTCTTATTTCTACCTTTTACCTCCTCAGACTGCATTCATGGACAGGCATGCTCATCAGATCACTTGACCTTACCTTGAAGCGACCATTGGCTTGCTTGAGAAGCAGATGTCATCGCCATCATCCCAAGCTTTAGCGGAGCTCTTTTTGCTGCCGCCTCCTCCACCCCCTGCTTGTGCCCTGGAACTTCCCCTTCCACCAGAACCACCTCTTCCACCAGAACCACCTCTTCCACCAGAACCACCTCTTCCACCCCGAGGTTTTCTGCCGCCGCCCTTGTTTGGTTTTCCTTTCCTACGAACAGGAAAATCCATCTGTTCCTGTTCATACATGATACAAATGTAATAAATAGTTTTGAAAAAAAACAAGATCCAGTCAGGGTTATATATTACAGTGACAACGGTCTGGAATTCAAAGTGAATTTTAAACTCAAGGCCAAAAACTTATCTATGCTTCCAGTTCAGCTATTTTGGTTTAAAATATGATATTTACCTTTCTGACAATTCTCATTGTGATTAGAGCAGTTGATGTTTCTCCACGATTCCCAGTTTAGTAAATAAACCCCAGTGGCCATCATCCCATCTGTTTTAATGTATTTTTTCAATAAATACTATATGCTTAATGTCTATTTGATAAGAAAAAACAACTTTTCAAAACCAGCTTCTAAAATTGCAAGTGTTTTAAGTAAGTTTAAATGATTCACTTATTTAGGGCACGTAACACCTCTCTTGTATTCTCCAAAAAAAAAAAAAAAGGGTTGGTTTAATCATCACTATCTGACTTTTTTTTATTGAGTAGTTCACTATGTACCCATAGGGATATTACAGATTTATTAAACACACCATTTGAAGAAAAATAAACAAAACAAACCTTTAGCATGATCCAATATAAAAAAGGCACGTGTAGCATGACAATGAGGGTTATTCACTAAACTCCAAATTGAAGAAAATGAAAAAACAGATTCTATAATCTAGGTCAAAATATCTGATGCAGAAACATTCTCCAACTCATCTAAAGTTCACAACTTGGCTATCTGAGGTTAAATTTTGCAATTCAAATTTTCATTAAAGCGGAACAGTCAGCGTCTCGTGAAATTTTGCAAAGACCCCTGATGGTGACATAGCCAATGGGGGTTCAGTAGCCGGGGGCAGGCAATGGTGAGTTTTACTTACCTGAACCTGTAGCTTGTGAGCACTCCATCCTCTTCAGTATGCTCCTCATCAGCTTCACCTGCCAGGAGCCAACGTCAGCCCTATACTTTCACGCATGCACAAAAGTAAAGGGATCCTCCGTAGAAAAAGCTCATTTTCCTGCAGCGTCATTGGTGACAGCTGGGGGAAATAAAAAGGTTTGACAGCGGTAGCTCTGCCTCATGTCAAACTTTGTCAGACAGCAGAAAAATACCAAGACAAAGTAGTCCCTACTTTTACTCAGGATACCCGGTGACTGGGTTGGAATTTCAGTGAAATTCCAATACAGTCAGTCAATCTGAGCATTTCGTCAAACCTTATGTCTGTATATGTTTTATATACAGCAATCTAAAATGCCTTCACATAGCCAGCACATGCATCACTTATAATTATCCTTATTATTGGTATTTATTATCGCGCTCACTTATTCTGCAGCACTTTACAATAAAATGAGAGGGAGAAATTTAACAATAAATGAGACATTTACAAAATGATACAGAGACAATAGGCAGAGGAGGACCCTGTCCAAATGAACTTTCAGTCTAGATAGCATCACTATGTATACAACTATGTTACAGCCACAGTGATTTAAATCACAGGGCACATGAGATGAAGTGGTGCTAGTACATGTCACTCCAGGTGTTGTGTACTACATGTCCCAAGATGCTCAGCTGTAAACCACTTATCTAAGCAGATCTCAGACACAGAAGCAATTATATATGCCAAGTTTAATAAATAAAAAGCTAATTCAGACAGGAACATACAGGCCAGAGACATACAAAGAGAACAGTACTCACACTCTATTCCAGCCCACACCGGCGTCTCTTCCTGTATCACCACGTGCTTCCTCCAGCTGCTGGCTCTTTGCCCTCTTGCGATTGGCTGGTGTAGACGTCCATCAGCAGAATGTCCGCTTTGGCTCGCCTATCAGATGTTTGTTTACAGATTTCTGTCTCCGCGGCAACCATGCTCGCTAGCTGTCATTAGAGAGCGAGGATGGAGGCGGCCATGGAGCAGCCTGGTGAGAGCTCACTGCAGGGCAGACTGCCTGCTGACCCTGATACTAACTTATAATATGGATATTAATCTCATTACACTACCTGCTAATTAATATAAACTTATAATATGGATATTAATCTCATTACACTACCTGCTAATTAATATAAACTTATAATATGGATATTAATCTCATTACACTACCTGCTTATTAATATAAACTTATAATATGGATATTAATCTCATTACACTACCTGCTTATTAATATAAACTTATAATATGGATATTAATCTCATTACACTACCTGCTAATTAATATAAACTTATAATATGGATATTAATCTCATTACACTACCTGCTTATTAATATAAACTTATAATATGGATATTAATCTCATTACACTACCTGCTTATTAATATAAACTTATAATATGGATATTAATCTCATTACACTACCTGCTAATTAATATAAACTTATAATATGGATATTAATCTCATTACACTACCTGCTTATTAATATAAACTTATAATATGGTTATTAATCTCATTACACTACCTGCTAACTAATATAAACTTATAGTATGGATATTAATCTCATTACACTACCTGCTAATTAATATAAACTTATAATATGGATATTAATCTCATTACACTACCTGCTTATTAATATAAACTTATAATATGGTTATTAATCTCATTACACTACCTGCTAACTAATATAAACTTATAGTATGGATATTAATCTCATTACACTACCTGCTAATTAATATAAACTTATAATATGGGTATTATCTTATAATATGGATATTAATCTCATTACACTACCTGCTAATTAATATAAATTTATAATATGGTTATTAATCTCATTACACTACCTGCTGATTAATATAAATTTATAGTATGGTTATTAATCTCATTACACTACCTGCTAATTAATATAAACTTATAGTATGGGTATTAATCTCATTACACTACCTGCTTATTAATATAAACTTATAATATGGGTATTAATCTCATTACACTACCTGCTGATTAATATAAACTTATAATATGGTTATTAATCTCATTACACTACCTGCTAATTAATATAAACTTATAATATGGTTATTAATCTCATTACACTACCTGCTTATTAATATAAACTTATAATATGGTTATTAATCTCATTACACCACCTGCTAATTAATATAAACTTATAATATGGTTATTAATCTCATTACACTACCTGCTAATTAATATAAACTTATAATATGGTTATTAATCTCATTACACTACCTGCTTATTAATATAAATTTATAATATGGTTATTAATCTCATTACACCACCTGCTAATTAATATAAACTTATAATATGGTTATTAATCTCATTACACTACCTGCTAATTAATATAAACTTATAATATGGTTATTAATCTCATTACACTACCTGCTGGTTAATATAAACTTATAATATGGGTATTAATCTCATTACACTACCTGCTAATTAATATAAATTTATAATATGGTTATTAATCTCATTACACTACCTGCTGATTAATATAAACTTATAATATGGTTATTAATCTCATTACACTACCTGCTGATTAATATAAACTTATAATATGGTTATTAATCTCATTACACTACCTGCTAATTAATATAAACTTATAATATGGGTATTATCTTATAATATGGATATTAATCTCATTACACTACCTGCTGATTAATATAAATTTATAGTATGGTTATTAATCTCATTACACTACCTGCTAATTAATATAAACTTATAGTATGGGTATTAATCTCATTACACTACCTGCTTATTAATATAAATTTATAATATGGGTATTAATCTCATTACATTACCTGCTGATTAATATAAACTATAATATGGTTATTAACCTTACACTACCTGCTAATTAATATAAACTTATAATATGGTTATTAATCTCATTACACTACCTGCTTATTAATATAAACTTATAATATGGTTATTAATCTCATTACACCACCTGCTAATTAATATAAACTTATAATATGGTTATTAATCTCATTACACTACCTGCTAATTAATATAAACTTATAATATGGTTATTAATCTCATTACACTACCTGCTTATTAATATAAATTTATAATATGGTTATTAATCTCATTACACCACCTGCTAATTAATATAAACTTATAATATGGTTATTAATCTCATTACACTACCTGCTAATTAATATAAACTTATAATATGGTTATTAATCTCATTACACTACCTGCTGGTTAATATAAACTTATAATATGGGTATATTAATCTCATTACACTACCTGCTAATTAATATAAATTTATAATATGGTTATTAATCTCATTACACTACCTGCTGATTAATATAAACTTATAATATGGTTATTAATCTCATTACACTACCTGCTGATTAATATAAACTTATAATATGGAAATTAATCTAATTACACTACCTGCTAATTAATATAAACTTATAATATGGTTATTAATCTCATTACACTACCTGCTAATTAATATAAACTTATAATATGGTTATTAATCTCATTACACTACCTGCTAATTAATATAAATTTATAATATGGGTATTATCTTATAATATGGATATTAATCTCATTACACTACCTGCTGATTAATATAAACTTATAGTATGGTTATTAATCTCATTACACTACCTGCTAATTAATATAAACTTATAGTATGGGTATTAATCTCATTACACTACCTGCTTATTAATATAAACTTATAATATGGGTATTAATCTCATTACACTACCTGCTAATTAATATAAACTTATAATATGGATATTAATCTCATTACACTACCTGCTAATTAATATAAATTTATAATATGGGTATTTATTTTATTACACTACCTGCTGATTAATATAAACTTATAATATGGTTATTAATCTCATTACACTACCTGCTAATTAATATAAATTTATACTATGGTTATTAATCTCATTACACTACCTGCTAATTAATATAAATTTATAATATGGTTATTAATCTCATTACACTACCTGCTAATTAATATAAACTTATAATATGGTTATTTATTTTATTACACTATGTGCTAATTAATATAAACTTATAATATGGTTATTTATCTCATTACACTACCTGCTAATTAATATAAACTTATAGTATGGTTATTTATGGCATTACACTATACGATGATTAATATACACGTGTAATATGTTTATTTATGTTATTACACTATGTGCTAATTAATATAAGCTTATAATATAGTTATTTATGTTATTACACTGTCTGTTGTGTTCATGCTTATCGCCTGGTGCTACAATGAAGCAGGGCTCAGCAGTGTACCCCATAATGTAGGGAGGGGTAGAAATGATTCAAGAATATTGGTTGTGGTGTTAGGCAAAGAGCCATGAAGATGCTTTGATCAGTAACTCCTATATCCTTTATATTGTGAGAGTTGTCCAAGTACTAATAATTCAATAGGGATTGGAGCCAAGCATTCCAAAAATGGGGCATAACCCCTAAATAGTGAACTAAGTAAAATAAAAAAGGAGGGGTGTGGAAAATGAGTATATGGTTCAAGATATCAAACTCAGAAAGACTTCTATGATCTAAATATTTTCTAAACACATCCCAAGAGTAAATAAAACTTAGTTTTTATCTATACTAATAAAAGTTAAGTAAATATATACAAGCAAAAAACAAAAAAATATATACATACAGAACCAACAACATAATGTAAAAAAATCTCCTCAATGTTGCTGCAATGTGATATACACTGCCTGTATAATGGAATAATAAGCAAAGCAGCAATGAAAAGAAACAGAGCAGTGATAAGGTTAAGGAAAGTTTCACTTTATTAATTAGCAAGAGTAGCAACAGGGTATTATACCCAGTACAGACTGGAACTCACAGTCTGGCCTAACACTCTGACAGCTGCAAACCAACGATCTAGGCAAACTAAACTAATTTGGTACTATACCTATATGAGGGAAGGGGGAAAATACCTATACTGGCTGATTGGAGGGCACCCCCAGTCTCCAGTCCTCCACTCCTGAAATAAAGTAGGCAGTAGTCTTAAAAGACCCCCCCACCCCCCTTCATTTGTGTTGCAGTGTTTTAACCCTATGACATTCCATCCTCACTCTCCCCACTCCTACATTTCTATTCCAGATCAATCCTTTAAATGGTCATTTTTGAGCTTAAATAGGCAGGTGAGGAGAAATAGGTACCAGGAACTTTGGCCAGTGTCCTCTTTGGCTCATTCAGCATCCTATGCTTGATAGCAGAGCTGCAGGAACAGTTATAGAGGCTGTATAATTCAGTGCTGTCCCAGATCCTTCAATGTCAGTTTGTGACTTGACATGGAAGGGATCACTATCCATCTGCCCTCTAGTAACCTCTCACAAATGAAATGCATTGCAGGAGAAGCAGGGGAAGCGCTCTGTAATCACTCCTACAGCTCTCATATCATTAGTCATAGTAAGGTGAATACTCTTCAAATAATCCTTCAAACTCTAGCATTTACAGACTAGACCTTAAATTCACTTTATTTAATTTATCTGCTTTATTTTGGGGTTGGGGAGCAGGGGGTGCCTTAGAATTTTGTGCCTACAGGCACCTGACTATAAAGATAATTTTCTCCAAGGAAGCGACATTGGCCTCCTTCTAGTGACAGGTTATTATAGCGAGAATGGAGATTGATAATGTCTTGCATACTAATGTCTCATACTATCTCAAGGTAACATGGGCAAAAAAACACGCATCTAGTAATCGTAGGAATTTTTTTATTATATATATATACTTAAAACATTCTTCTTTCTCGACTTTACTATCGTAATTTACTACCGATCTGCCTTCCAAATACCAGAGAGAGCTCTTGTATGGGCAGAAAAGCCCAGTGTTAATTTTGCGTAGGCACGTTTAATGATAAACTCACGTTGTGCCTATTCAGACTTTTCTCTGGTGTCCCCAGAAGCAAGACACCAGGGCACAAATAGTGGAATTGCACTTTTGGAGTTGGTCTGCATTTTCCATTGCTTCAGTCTAGACATAGTACAGCAAAGGTTTGGAATAAACTTTGAACTGAATGATGTCAGTCTACATACAGACAGCTCTATTTCCTTTCAGCTTGGCTTTATATAGGCAGACTTAAAAGGCTGCAGGCAAGAGGAATAATGTGCAGAGGATGCAAAGACAGCTTTCTGAGACAGCCAGCAAGCAAGTTCACCACTGGACACTGCAGGAGGAAGCTGGCAACTCCCTCTAGTTTCAGGATGATGAGTAATAGTCTAAACCCACTAGGAGCCTTGGCTGAAGGCCAACCTGGATGCTAATACACAACCAGATCCTGTGTATCCAATTGCAGGGGCATGCCTCTAGCTTCAGTGAAGTCCAATATTACAATATTTTTTACATGGGAGGACTTTACTGGCTTTGCTGGCACAAGTGGACCATCTGGTTTGATAGGACACATTGTATTGTCTGCTCTCTCTAGTGGAAAGACCTAGGTCATGGATCAGCAACGTATTGCATGGCACTGGAGGTGTCTTTACACATCACATAAGGCTTCCAGAGCCAAACAGGCTCTGGCCTATCAGGAGTCCCACTGGGACTTCAGATATCTGCTAGTGCAAACCAAGTGCTAATTGCAGGTGGTGAGGGACAATCCTCAATTTACACATTGCTGCATTTGGTGGAAATGATTTCAGTTCACTTTTTATCCTGCACTTGTAAACGGGATCTACACTGAAGTAGAGCAGCCCACAGCAGTTATCATAGCTCCTGACCTTGACCTGGCCAACACGGTCCTCACTGGAGCACAAGGAAGATACCCACGCCTCTAAATATACACTGAGCAGCAGAATAAGCCTTCTCCATGTGTAATTAATACAAACAGCCTACACACAAACAACCACAGTCCCTACAAATACAACACCACTGAGAATCCACGCACACAACTGAACAAGCAGCCTCAAGCATTACCACACATGCACACACACACACCACCACCACCAAACACACTATGTAATGTATCATCACAATTCCACAAACTACTCATGACAATATACAATATAACAGCTTGCATACAAACATATACAACACTACACAGCAACTGTAGCACCCATAAATAACACAAGCAGAATACAGCAACATACACACCTAAGGTTAACAAATTAGGACTGGTGTGCCAAGATCTTGTTTTGGCACAGTTCTACTAAAAGGTTGCCTACCCCTTACCTGGGTTTATGAAGGTTTAGCCTATAGGACTGCCTGTATGTTTAACAATATTGATGCATTGTTGTTTTTCTGAAAATTGCCTACACTTATCATCAAATTCTAAAGGAACATTAACACCGTAGAGCTGATATTTCAGATATTCTGTTCCTACCTTGACATTTACTCAGTAAATACAATTTGTGTATTACCTTCTAAAATGATTAGCAGATTATCATGGCTAAGTATGCTCAAAGTGTATTGTGTTCCACGTATATGCTACCCATTCAGATTTAATATATAATTTTACATCTGGTATTTTTCGTACAGCTCCTGAAGTCTTCCAGATTTCATTTGTGTTCCCAAATGGAGACGCTTATGGTAAGATGTGCGGTCAATGGACCCTTTCCTATTCTATCTTGAATGCAAAACTTAAAGGACAACTGTCATTACATTTTTCACTTTTAATTTTTTTTTTATTGCTATGACACATCTCAAGTTTACGTAATGTATAAAAAAGAAGAAAAACATAAAAAACATTGTAATATAATAACATAGTGCAGAACCCTGTTATATAAAGACATGATCGGCAATTTGGAAGTCGGTAAGGACTTGTCAGTGTCGTAGGAGGAAGAGGGTTCCTCAGCATTGGTAACAGTTTGTCGGAATTCATAGTCTCAGTAGAAACACCTCCTATATTATGAGGTAGGTATTGTGGGGGATAACAAAGAAAGAAACTGCGAGGACCAACCGTTCTCTATTGTTATTGCAAGCCCAGAGCGGAGTTATCTGCCTTCGTAAGTTTTTGGATTTGGGTGACTCGGTGCGTTCTGGAGTTGTGGAGTTTGGTAAGAGGAGTTAGTGCACTGAGAACCCCTGCACGTAGTGGGGTAGGATGTACATACCATTACTGATACGGTATTCAGAGGATGTCTTGCCCTTGAATTAGGTTTTGAGGAAGAGAGAGAGAGAAAAAAGTGTTGAGGAAGAAAGTGAGAGGCTGGAAGAGGGGGGGGGGAGATGAGGTCAAGGAATGGGAGGGATTTATTCGGGAGGTCAGGAGCGAGATCTTTCAGTGTCTGCCTGTCTGATATAGGATACAGAGCTTTCCCGTGATTTCTTAGTGATGAGGGCATATAATGTGGGGATTTGACCTTTTTAGATTGAAGGAGTCAAAAGGAGTTAAGGGGGTTGTGCTTGCTAGTTTGTAAGTGAATGTGTTGAGGAAGCTCCGGATCTGGACTTAGCGAAAAAAATTGAAAGTTGTGAGTGGGTTGGGACGTGGAAATACCCCAAATATCATATGCTCCAAGTCCACCCATTTTTGAAGCCATATGAGGCATGAAGGTTCTGAGTCTTGGCCAGTTGGGCGGTGTCGAAATACTGGATAAAGTGTGGTAGTCCGAAACCTCCTGCTTTGTTTGGAACATAGAGAGTTTGGCATTTGATCCTAGTTCTTTTATTGGCCCAAATGAATTTGTCAGTGTTTGTTTGTAGCATTTTAAAGTCAGGTATTGCAAAGGGAATTGGCAGAGCTTGGAAGAAGTATAGAAACCGCAGTAGTAAGTTCATCTTTAATGAGGCTGAACAGCCTAGCCAGGATATTGGTCTTTAAATTTTGTATTGCTTTCTCAATCAGAGTAGTGTAGTTCAAATCATAAGTTCAGGAGAGGTCTACAGGCAGTGCCTAAGCTTAATTGTAGTGGCTTGGAAATTAAGTGGATATTGTTTTTGAAGGGTGTCTATGGTCGCTGGGTCAAATTGAATAGGTAGGACTTCTGTCTTATCTATATTTAATTTATAGCCTAAGACTACAGCATAGTCTTGTAGTGCGGTTAGGAGTAGTGGTACAGAGTTTGAAGGGCTGGTCACAGTCAAGAGCAGATAATTGGCATAGGCGGTTTTAAATTATTTTCCACGGATGTTTAAGCGGTTCGAGAGAGTGAATAAAGTTGTTTAGTGATTTTAAAAAATTTTTTTTATTGATGTATATTGATTTTTTTTTAAATCACTTTTTATCTGGCTTAACAGCCATGTTGGGTAAGACTCTATTGTTATGTGACAAACTCTGCTCAACCTAACTTGCTTGTTGCTGTGATTACTGTGTGTGAAACTGCAGGTGCAGGCAAGTTAGTTTGAGCAACAATTGCTCAGAAAACAGTAGAGTCTGACCCAACAGGATTGCAAACATAGCTGTTCACCCACATACAAGTGAAATCTTCTAAAAATAAATAAAAAAAAAAATAGATTTTTTTTTACAAAAGTTTAATTAAATGTAATAAACATTTAAAAATGAGCAATGAAAATTTGATGAGAGTTGTCTACATAACCTAACAATTCTAAAATAACTCAGCATGTATCTAAAACGTCTGTTATTTATTTATTTTTTTATGGTACATATGTTTTAAATGCTTTTTTTGTTGTTGTAAAGTAGCCTACCATGACACAACCTACCATGTGTCTTTCTGATACCTAGCTCTTTTTCATTTTATGTACATAACATCCTTCTAAATGAATGCCCATTATGGGTATTTCTTAATTGCTTTCCCTCTTTTTTGGGGGATGAAAGATGAGAGATATCTTTACATGGGGCACTACAGGCACCATAACAACTATAGCCATCAGCAAACTGTAGTGTGTTATGCTGCCAAGAGTGCTTTGGTGGTCTCCCAGAGCATGCCGCCACCAAGGCTCTGCACAGCTGTGCTTAGTTCAGTGTCTTGAGCTTCTGGTGGCAGGGGAGATGGTGGGGGGTGCCCAATTTTTAAATCTACTTTAAGTTTAATTAAATAACAAACACTTTTATGGCTCACATTAAAGATGGCGAATGTACATGGTCACCTTCTGGATCACTGAAGAGAAATGGAAGAGGAGTCCATCGAAGTACTGCTGGTGTAACTTACTTTGGATCCTGGAAGAATGACAGGGTAACAGTTTTTTAATTATGATACAAATTAAGGGCTAAAGAGGAAGAGCAATTTATAATAAAACTCATCAGTACTGTGGCATGCCTCACAACAGTCCAGATTTAGGCTGGCCAGTCCAGATTTTTGGGTCCTGTCTCCTCGTCCCAATTTAGCTCCCCAGGGAACTGTCTCCAAAAATCATCGCGTAAACACATCATTAGAAGCACTAAAGCTATGTTCAGAGCACTAGGACTATGTAGGGAGCACTAGAACAGTGCTCCCTGCAAGGTCTGCCCTGAATGGACTGGCCTTGCAATACTGGCAAGCAGCATGGGGTGTATTCACACCGCATTGACCTGCCACTAATGTGTACAGACCTTCTGGGTAGAGGCAGTAATGCAATTGCATCACTGGCGTCCTCATTTACCTCCATCCCACCAGTATCCATATTTGTGGACTGCCAAAGTTGTAAGGTATGCTGTGGTGGCTAGTGAGGTTTTGAAGTTTACCCTTAGAATTCAGCTCTGCCCCATGTGTTTGTAAATTACACCTACTGACAATGGCGTACACACGATCCATGGGGCCCCGGTGCGAAAACTGATCCGTGTGCCCCCCCTGGCGGTTACACAGCTGCGAACCCTGTATGTACACCACTGTACACACACACATACATACAAATCCATAGCCATCGGGTGGCCCTAACAGCATAGGACACCCGATGGTCCCCTTAACGTGCGGCCCCGGCAGTAATACCGCGTGGGCCAGGGCCGCAACACATGGTGGCGGGCAGGGGGCGGCCAGGCTCCCTAGAGTGGCAGGCCCGGTCGCAGCTGCGACTGCAGTATGTACGCCACAGCCTCCTGATCTGGACCTGCCCACTTAATTCTCTGTAATCAACCCCTAACCCAATGATACAACAACATAAACCTATAAAAGACAAAATGTGAGGGGAAAAAACTCTAAAATGTATAATATATGTATAAAAAGGTCTTGTGGTTTTTGTTGATTTTTTTTGTCAATCATTTGTATTGAGATAGATGCACAGTACATATCATAAGCAGTGTCATATAAGTGATAACTTTTACAGAAAATAATATGTTAATGCATTACAATGCCCTATTACCCTTGGGTCTCAGTGGGGGAGAGGGGTAATAACTATCAAGGTTAGTATGAGCCAATAGCTGAAACTGTATTTGCCAGCAATAAATAAAATGTAAAGCACATTGTGAATACGTTAGGTAAATTTAGATGTGAGAAATATAAATTGGCAACTGCAGGAACAATGGTGGTGTCGGACCATGGTGTGGACTAGTCTGGGAGCACCTCAGCCATTTTCCAAGCAACGTTCCATGACGAAAATGGTACGGCATTATCAATGTCCCATTGAGGTCCTGTTGTAGAGGCTTTTGGAGGAGGCAATTGGTCGTTCAGGCCTAATGTTAAAAGAAAGGTTGGGGCCCCAGAAATAGAGTCCTTCCCATCTTGAGTTGCTACCAGGACCAGTGAAAGGGCCCCATCTGTATTTGATACCTGTGGTTTGCAAGCGTTGGGTGATAGGTCGAAGGGAAACAAGCAAGGTGAGTGTTGCCCTGCTGAAGTCAACATAGAAAGGAAGGCTGGAATCCTTAAACACCAGAGTTACATAGTTACATAGGCTGAAAAGAGACACATGTCCATCAAGTTCAGCCTTCCTCACATTTGTTTTTTGCTGTTGATCCAAAAGAAGGCAAAAAAACCCAGTTTGAAGCACTTCCAATTTTGCAACAACTATGAAAAAAAAAAATCGCTCTTGAAGAATGGCAGTCAGATTTATCCTTGGACCAAGAAGCTATTACCCTACAGTTGAAAAATTATATAAATGAATATTCTGTTTTTCCAAGCATGCATCTAGTTGCTGTTTAACCCCTTAAGGACTCATGACATGTGTGACATGTCATGATTCTCTTTTATTCCAGAAGTTTGGTCCTTAGGGGGTTAAGTACAGACTCTGATAAAACCACTTCTTTAGGCAGAGAATTCCACATCCTTTTTGTTCTTACAGTAAAAAAAAACCTTTTCTTTGCTTTAGACAAAATATTCTTTCTTCCAGTCTAAAGGCATGCCCTTGTGTCCTATGTAAAGTCATTATTATTATTAATATTAATAATAATAATAATAATAATAATGACTTTACATAGGACACAAGGGCATGCCTTTAGACTGGGAAAAAAATATTTTGTCTAAAGCAAAGGAAAGTCCTGTTTGTGAATAGATTTCCACACAATGGTTTGTATTGGCCACGGATATATTTGTATAATGTTATCATATCCCCACCGAGGTGACGTCTTTCTAAATTAAAGAGGTTTAAATTTGTTAACCTTTCTTCATAGCTAAAATGTTCCCTTTCTTTTTTTCATTTTGAAGCCCGACTCTGCACTTTTTCTTTTGCCATAATATCTTTCTTTAGAACGGGTGCTCAAAATTGCCCAGCATATTCAATATGTGGTCTAACCAGTGATTTATAAAGGGGCAAAATGATATTCTCATCCCGAGAACAAATGCCCTTTTTCATGCATGACAATACTTTACTGGTCTTAGGCACTGCTAATTGACATTGCACATCGTTGCATAGTTTGTTGTCTATAACAGTTCCCAAGTCCTGCTTGCCATGGACTGCTGCCATTAGCATCTGTTTATCAGTGAGACATTGGGTGTTGAAGGGATATCCGTGGACCTAGCAGTGTCCCACCCAAAACACTCCTACCAGGTTTATAACTGTAACCTGTTTTGGAGGAAACAGTGTGGAGAGAAGACATATTGAGGCAGCTCAACAGCTCCAACTGAATTTGCAGCCCAAAACAAAATTATAAATGCAACACTTTTGTTTTTGCCCCCATTTTTCATGAGCTGAACTCAAAGATCTAAAACTTTTTCTATGTACACAAAAGGCCTATTTCTCTCAAATATTGTTCACAAATCTGTGTTAGTGAGCTGAGATAATCCATAGCTGCTGCAACAAATGGTATGCATAACCAAAGAATTTCTGCACAAACTGTCAGAAACCATCTCAGGGAAGCTCAACTGCATGCTCGTCGTCCTCATCGGGGTCTCGACCTGACTGCAGTTCGTCGTCAATGAGTGGGCAAACGCTCACATTCTATGGTGTCTGACACTTTGGATAGGTGTTTTCTTCACGGATTAATCCTGGTTTTCACTGTGCAGGGCAGATGGCAGACCGCATGTATGGCGTCGTGTGGGTGAGCGGTTTGCTGATGTCAACGTTGTGGATCGTGTGGCCCATGGTGGCGGTGAGGTTATAGTAGGCGTATGTTATGGACAACGAACACAGGTGCATTTTATTGATGGCTTATTGAATGCACAGAGATACCGTAATGAGATCCTGAGGCCCATTGTTGTGCCATTCATCCACGACCATCACCCTGTGTTGCAGCATGATAATGACTTGCCCCATGTTGCAAGGATCTGTACACAATTCCTAGAAGCTGAAAACATTCCAGTTGTTGCATAGCCAGAATACTCACCGGACATGTCACCCAATGAGCATGTTCGGGATGCTCTGGATCGGTGTATACGACAGTGTGTTTCAGGTCCTGCAATTTCATAGAGCCATTGAAGAGGAGTGGACCAGCATTCCACAGGCCACAATCAACAACCTGATCAACTCTATGCAAAGCAGATGTATTGCACTGTGTGAGGCAAATCGTGGTCACACCAGATACTGACTGGCTTTCGGATCCCCCAATACAGTAAAACTGCACATTTTAGAGTGGCCTTTTATTGTGGCCAGCCCAAGGCACACCTGTGCAATAATCATGCTGTCTAATCAGCATCTTGATATGCCACACCTGTGAGGTGGATGGATGGCAAAGTGCTCACTAACACAGATTTAGACAGATTTGTGAACAATATGTGAGAGGAATAGGCCTTCAGCTCATGAAAAATGGGGACAAAAAAAAAGTGTTGTGTTTATAATTTTGTTCAGTGTACATACATATTTTTTTATGAGAGTTAATCAGCCTCGTGGATGGACTTCTTACTTTGCTCTGCTATTTGGAGTGAGTTTCTGACTCATGCGCGTGACTGTGTGTGTCTGAAAGTGCACGTGACTCTCTGTCTTTGTGTGACTGAGTGCATGCGACTGAATATGACAGTGTATATGTGACTTTGTAACTGAGAGTGTGACTGCATGTATGTGACTTTGTGCGTGGGTTTTTATGTGGGTATTTATGGCTGTATTCATTGGGACCTATCCCAGATAACCACATACATTAAATAAACTCATAAAAGATATTTAACCATTATTACTGCAGTAGCACAAAACTATCCTTCAGGTTTGGAAGCAGCCGGGTACACCACATTTGCATTTATTGTTAGCTGCAATCCCTTTTCTATTTAAAATGGATTGGTTCAAAAACCTCTCCAGAAATGAAATTTTTATATCCCTACCCTGAATTCTTCTTTCCAATTAAAGGTCAAGGTCATCTTGGAGTACACACATGATTCCCACTTTTCATAAACTACCTAGGGTGTTAGACAGATGAGGGATCTTGTGACACATTGTGAATCTCTTTTTTATGTAAAACTGTAGTTTTACGTTTGTGACTTGTTTACCTTTGCCATTGACCTAGTTACAAATGTGTACCAAACTTGTCACGCTATCCGCACTAACTTCCTCTGACATACCTGTATTAGTTCAGGGGCCTGGTTTCCTTGTGGGGGTGGTGGAACAGGAGAAGAGGGCAGCCAGTGTAGTGGTTTGTTAATTATTTTAATTTCATTTTATGGATTTTTTCGTATTTGTTAAATTTGAATTAGAATGTTGCTTATAAAATTCTGTTGTGTTTGTAATAATATCTGGAATTCTTAATAAAAATTTATTTTCAAAAAGAGGCAACTACAACACAATTTTCAAGCCTTATTTTAATAATCTTACCAAATTCAATACTGTAAGAATTTTTTTTCAAATGATTTATCTACAGATGTCACCTTGAAACGCTATCCAGAAGTGCGTGTGTATAAGTATCACAAATTTGTACACACAATATTTTCCCAGAATGATAGTGTATGTGTAGCTTATACTAACAACTTTACAAAATGTAGTATAAAACTTGACTTTATTGTTTCCCCAATAACATAGGTATAAAGGTGTAGGTAAGTATTAGATAAGTTCAACAAAAATACTTATCGTATACATGACTTTGCATCAAACAAAAATTTACAGCACAGCACAAGGAATTGCGTTCTAATATAATGTGGCATGCAACATATGTCTCATTTAGTGTGAACCAATAAAATAATATTTTTTTATCTTTTTATAGATGAATGGTACTGGAAAATTAGAACAACCTTCAGGAGCAATCTATGAAGGGGAATTTGTGGATAATATGTTTCATGGTAAAGGTACTTATACATTTCCTGATGGATCTAGATACGTTGGAAGCTTCAACCAGAACAAGTAAGCCAAGCTCTTTCTGAGATACAAGTATTGTTTTAACGGTAAAGTTGTTACATCAGAATGTTATAGGCAGAGGATATAGGCCCTTAGAAGCTGAAGGACATAATAGGTGTTTGTTTTTAATAAACAGAAATACAGCCTTTTAAACTAATAATATTCAGACAATCTTCTATACAGAGGTGACATGTATGCCAAGTAAAATATGTGGTGTATAATTGCAATTTATCATAAATCTGAGCAGCTATCTGGTTAGATTTTATTTCCTTGCCAAATTTCAGTAAAACATAAGCACTCACTTGATCGAGTTGTGGGATGACTGTAGTTCCAGACTCACAATCCAGTAAATATGTAGTAACAATCAAATTGTTCGAATCTCCAGCACACATGGCATAGCCTCCTTAAAGGACCACTATAGTGCCAGGAAAACATACTCGTTTTCCTGGCACTATAGTGCCCTGAGGGTGCCCCCACCCTCAGGGACCCCCTCCCGCCCGGCTCTGGAAGGGGAAAAGGGGTAAAAACTTACCTTTTTCCAGCGCTGGGCGGAGAGCTCTCCTCCTCCTCTCCGCCTCCGTTACGCCCCGCCGGCTGAATGCGCACGCGCGGCAAGAGCTGCGCGCGCATTCAGCCGGTCTCATAGGAAAGCATTTACAATGCTTTCCTATGGACGCTGGCGTGCTCTCACTGTGATTTTCACAGTGAGAAGCACGCAAGCGCCTCTAGTGGCTGTCAATGAGACAGCTACTAGAGGATTAGGGGGAAGGCTTAACCCATTCATAATTATAGCAGTTTCTCTGAAACTGCTATAATTATGAAAAAATGGGTTAACCCTAGCTGGACCAGGCACCCAGACCACTTCATTAAGCTGAAGTGGTCTGGGTGCCTAGAGTGGTCCTTTAAACACATAAGTGTAATAAGTGTCATGAAAAGTGTTTAAATAGGCACTATAGTAACCAAAACAACTTTGGCTTAATGAAACAGCTTTGATGTATAGATTATAACTCTGAAGTTTCACTACTCAATTCACTGCCATTTAGGAGTTAAATCACTTTTATTTTTGTGCAGCCGTGGTCACTCCTCCCCTGACTGTGACTTACACAGCCTGCATAAAAATAAAATGGTTTCATTTTAATTAGATGCAACTTACTTGAAAAGTTATCTCCTGCTCTGTAAATTTATCTCCTGCTCTGTAAGTTGCGCTTTAATTACATACAGAAGGTTCCGGCAGGGTTTACCAAGCTATTAACAGAGCAGGAGACAGGACATTCTAAATTAAACAGAATTTGCAATATAGGAAGCCTAAACATTAGATTACACTTTACAGGAAGTGTTTAGGAAGGCTGTTCAAGTCACATGCAGGAATGAGTGACTAGGGCTGCATAAACAAAGTGATTAAATGCCTAAATTGCAGAGAATTGAGCAGTGAGACTGCAGGGGCAGGATCTATACACTAAAACAGGTTTATTAAGCTAAAGTTGTTTTGTTGACTATAGTGTCCCTTTAAACTTTCAATGTTTTCAAGATCACAATGTACTATGTTTGAAGGGTTATCTTGAATGATAATTCAATAATTATTGAGAGCAGTCCTGCAGGCAACAAAGCTGTGCTGACCTAGTTTAGGTATGTATAGGTTCATCAGTCACCGATAATATCCTGCAGACTCACCAAGCGTGATTGTCATATTCACCAGAACCCATGAAGGCTTACAATGTAATTATGGCCTTGGGAGTGACCTCTCTAAAAAGTTCACTGCAAAATAAGTAAGAAAGTTTGCCTTTATAAACCATGGAATGAAACAACGCCCAGGGATTTATGTTGATCTTCATTAAGATCAAATGTAAGTGATTGTATGACATCCACATCCAATAAAAAGTAAAGATTAAGCCCAGGTACCTCGAGAAAATACTTAAAAATAATTCTTCTGCTATCATACCTAATGCATAGATCTTCAAAGTCAGTGCTTACCCACAATGCACAATTTCATGATACCTTCTTTCATATTGGATTATTGACATTTGTGAACCACTTTATTGGATCGAGGGGCATACAAATAGTATTCTTGTTTATGCATTTTTGGTGCAAAATACCTGAAGATCCCTATAAATAACCAACAACACCATGTGTTTATATAGACATAATTGGCACATTCATCATGACAAATGTGATCGATATAAATATGTTTGTGGCCAAAAATACACAATTTTAAAACACATGCTTCTCTATACATGTAAAGAAAACAATCTGCTATTTCCAGAATTTTTCCTTCAGTTTGTCTATTTAGATTAATTGCAGCATACTTGCTTGTAACTTGTCTTTATTTATATTTATTGTCTTTTCTTTCTTACACCTGTTGACAGTATAGATCGTCATGCATTGAAAGTACGAGCATGGTTAAATCTCTGCTGATACCAAGGTTCCCCAGGTATCAATGCATACCTTAGGGTCACCGATGTCAGCTGGGGCCACAAATAGTGGCTCTGGAGTGTCAAATGAGCTGTAAAAGTGAGCATGGCACATAGCCCTTTAGTCCCATTTAAATACCGGAGCTGGGCGATTGCGCTCTACCACAGTGATTGTGAGTCTGCCCCAAGTATGAGGGAGACCCCAAGGATCTGAAAACACTCTGGTTAGGTCTCCCTGCATGTCCTCTGCCCAGTGCTGGGCTTTGCCAACTGCCTGCCACTGATCACAGTTTCAGGAGCTGCAGAAGGGCAATCTCCTTCTCATGTTGCAACCACACAGTACATAGTGCTAAGTACTAACATCAGCAGAGGGAATTCATCAGAGGTAGGAATAGGTGGTGGGATTTAGGGTTTGTATTGTGGGTTAGTGGTTTAATTAGGGGCAAGATTATCAGGGTTATTTACTAAGGTGAGAGTTCACAATGAATTTCAAATTTAAGAACAGAGTAGCTGCATTTAAAGCATAAATACAAAAAAACAAGTCCTGCGCTTAAACTCCCACTACTATTGGGCGGCAGCAACGACCATAGTACACATCAGCCCAAATACATACTGTAAAAACCAAAGGAAAAAGTTGCCTGCGCTCTTCCCAAATCATCATGCACATTCAAACATATGGAGGCCACCTAGTTTCTCTAATGGCCATGAGAGAGTTTAGCCCACTCGCCACATCAAGGCAAACCTCTCAGGTGGGTCCTACACTAATCTTTCACCTTGCTTCCTTGAGATTCTGGCAAATATATTTCTAATGAGAACAAATCCCTCTCTCTGTCTCATTAGAGATATCTTTACCAGAAGCTCAAGGAAGCAAGATGAAAGGTTAGTGTAGGACCCACCTGAGAGGTTTGCCTTGAGGTGGCGGTGGGCTAAACTCTCTCATGGCCATTAGAGAAACTAGGTGGCCTCCATATGTTTGAATGTGCATGATGTGCTGATGTGCTGATAATCATGGGAGTTGTAGTTCAGCAACATCTGGAGGGCCGGAGTTTGGGGAAGCCTGCTTTAATGGGACACTCCAATACCCAGAAACAAAAAAACTAATTGAAAAGAACACTGTTTATTAGATATACCCGCAATGAAAACATTCATGAATTGGATTATGCATTTGTTCATTGGGCATATCTAAAAACAGCTCGCAAAAGCTGCCGAAATTCTGGGCCATGTTAAAAGGCGAGGGCTTGCAAAGGCTGTTCCATTAATATGATGAGCGAGTCAACTCTGGACAAACCTTAAAATTATTTCTAATTTTATTTTAGTTATGTTGCGGGTATATACAAATCCATACATGAACTGTGAAAAATATCTGTAAAAAGCCTTACAGTATGGCAAGTTTAGTTCCTGAACTGAATAATTATAAATGGGACCATGCTAAAAATACCACTAATTGCACTGCTAATTAAAAGACATTTGCAGTAGTATTTTAGTCTATTTGAGTGTATGTTAATCTGTCAGATGTAATCCAGTTTAAAAGAACAATCAACTCGGAAGCAAGAAAGGCCATCTAGGACAGCAAATTAGAGCATTTCATGCATGAAGTATGTGTCAAAGAGAATCAGGTTTCACCGCGTCTCTTTACTTTCTCAGGATGGAGGGAGAAGGTAAATACGTGGACTCACAGAAGCTCGAGTGGAAAGGAATATTTTATAACACAGCTGCACCAGGACTGAAGCTAAAGTTGGAGATGTAGTTTTTATCCTAAAACCTTCTACAATGTATTGTATTTTGTGCCATATTGCAGTTCATATTATCTAATATGTACAGAAGAAGTGTGTGTGTGTGTGTGTGTGTGTGTATATGTACTGAAAGCCCTTCTCTATTTTCATAAGGTTTTGCAACCACCTTGGTATTTGTTGTAATATGCTGAATGTGCCAGTAGGGGACAATCTACATAGATATTGTACTAGGTGAGGACACTAGAAGGAGTATATAATGGAAAATAAAATACTGTATGATGTGCACTGTCAGATACTAGCAAGTGCAATAACAATCTCATTCTCACAGCAGCTCACTGTAGTATAAACCTAATGTATGTATATACAGCATGGTATTTAAGCAATTATGTTGTTCAATGATATCTGGTTTTTTTTTGTTTGTTCTTTTTAAAAGGTGGGCTATAGTCAAAACTAGGCTACTTTAGCCTCAATTTTTTAATATTCAAAAAATTGCCTTGAGACGTCAAATGCACTGAGGCAATGCATCTCTATAAGGAAATGCTGATTGGTGCAGCACAGAAATTGATGTACGCGCGCTGCAGCTGCCAACGCTTACCTACGAGGAAGCCTTGGACTGGTTGAGATCATCAGTAATGATGATCTCAGCCAAGGAGGAGTGGTGGCTGTGGTAAGACAGGGGCACCGGTGGACTAAGGGTAAGTTAATCTATGTTTACATGCTAACCGTGCATCTAAATAGGCCATATTTTACTCTACCATTAGGAATACATGTTTGTATCCCTAACATTACAAGGTTCCTTTCAAGCGGCGCTGCTACCCCTTATCATAAAGATATAATTGTTATGAAATACTCATATTAACTGTGTTGGAATGTAACAGAAATTAAACTCAGTCAAAAGATATACTGAGACAAAGTTGGTACTACTATGTCTCAGTATTTTTCCTCCGCTTGGCACTTTTTGATACTGGGCGGAGCTACCGTCTTGAAGAAGTGTCAATCCCCCATCCATCCTGGCAGTTGAACTAACCTTTCCCTGCCCCCTCCAGCCCTGGCCACTGTTCCCCAAGCGGCGATGTCACTGTCAGGGGTCTTCGCAAATTATGCAAAGTCCTCAGAAGGTGACAGTTCTGCTTAAAGTGGAAATGGCAAATTACCAGCTTGGTGGATGAAAAATAAATAAATATTGGAACGCTTAACTGCTTAGTCACAAACAATATGTACATCTTTTAAATATAATTGTGTGTTTTTTTTAGGTTATTTTATTTAAACTTGGTAACTTAAAAGTGACAAATAATAACATGTTTGATTTATTAAAACAAGTTTTATTGGATAGTTGTTGCACCAGGTTTTACTAATTTTCACTAATAAAAGGGGCTTGTTTGATTGATGTATACTAATGATTTTGATACACTTATGTATACTGTTACTGCACTGATTCTAAGTCATGTTTTCACTATAATCTGGTTCCCTCCTGCCTATATACACAATAAATATAGCAGTGTCTAGTACATTTGTGTCATATATATTGTATTTATATATATATATATATATATATATATATATATGTATGTCTCTTATTCCCCTTCCCAAGCCACTCTGTGTATCTCTTTCTTCCTCCAAGCCTCGTTGTATCTCTTTCTCCCCCAAGCTTCGATCTGTGTCTCTTTCTCCCCTTCCTCTCTGTGTTTCTCTTGTTCCCCTTCCCCAGTCCCTCTGGGTCTCTTTCTCCCCCAATCCTCTTTCCTGTGTCTATTGCCCCCAACCCCTCTGTTTGTCAATTAGCCTTTCCAAACCCCACTGTTTGTCTCTTTCTCCCGTAAGCCCCTTTTGTGTATCTCTCTCCCGAGCCCCTATGTGTGTCTCTTTCTCCCCTTCCTCACCTCCTCTGTGTGCCTCTTGTTCCCTTTCCCCAGCCCCTCTGTGTCTCTTTCTCCCAATCCTCTTTTCAATGTCTTTTCCCTCCAGCCGCATTGTGTGTTTCTTTCCCCTTCCCTAGCCCCACTGTGTCTCTCTTTCTCCCCATCCCCTCTGTGTGTCTCTTTCTCCCCCGAAGCCCTTTTGTGTGTCTCTCCCCCTACCCCTATGTCTCTTTCCGCCACATCCTCTCTGTGTATTTCTCCCTCTCAGCCCCTCTGTGTTTCTCTTTCTCCCCCCAGCTCCTCTATGTGTATCGTTCCCCACAGCCCCTCTGTGTTTCTCTTTCTCCTCTTCCACAGCCCCTCTGGGGGTCTTTCTCTCCCCAAATCGCCTCTGTTTGTCTCTCTCTCAACATCAGCCCGTCTGTGTGTCTCTTTTTCTCCCAGGCCCTTTGTGCCTCTTTTTCCCCTGGATCCCCTCTGTGTGACTCTCTCCATGCCCCTCTATGTTTCTCTTTTCCCCCCAGCCCCTCTGTGTCTCTTTTTCCCCTGTGACTCTCCCCATGCCCCTTTGTGTGTCTCCCTTTCCCCCACAGCCTCTCTATGTGTCTTTCTCCCTCACAGCCCTTGTATGTGTCTCTTTCTCTCCTGTAGCCCCTCTGTGGATCTCCTCCCACTCCCAGAGCCTGTTTGTCTCATTTTCCCCCAGCCCCTCTGTCTTTCACTCATAGCGCCTATGTGTTTCTTTCACCCCTTGCACTGCCCTATGTGTCTCATTCTCTCTCCAGATCCTCTCTCTTTTTTTCCAGTCCAGCCCCTCTATGTGTTTCTTTCCCCAGCCTTTTTTGTGTGTCTCTCTTTCAAGCTTAATGCTTGTAGCATGGTCGGGTGGACTGCAGTAGGGGATCTGTATGATAGGAAGCTGCTAGTTGGTCCCAGCAGGCACTTCATGTTAGACCAGGTAGAGGATACAGAAAAGGCTCTGCATCGGTTGCTCGCTCTCGCTACATATAGTGACTGGCAGGAGGGGAGCGCTGTGCTATGTGCCGCACCTTTTCTGTCGGTCACCTAGAGATTGCGTCCCCTGGGCCATGCATCTGTGACTTGACGCATCAGAGCTGTTTATTAGTACGAATTGGACCTACATGATATTAGGCAGATGATTTATGTTGTGGCTGATCAGTGTATCTTGGCAAATGAGATACAGGGAGTGCAGAATTATTAGGCAAGTTGTATTTTTGAGGATTAATTTTATTATTGAACAACAACCATGTTCTCAATGAACCCAAAAAACTCAATATCAAAGCTGAATATTTTTGGAAGTAGTTTTTAGTTTGTTTTTAGTTATAGCTATGTTAGGGGGATATCTGTGTGTGCAGGTGACTATTACTGTGCATAATTATTAGGCAACTTAACAAAAAACAAATATATACCTATTTCAATTATTTATTATTACCAGTGAAACCAATATAACATCTCAACATTCACAAATATACATTTCTGACATTCAAAAACAAAACAAAAACAAATCAGTGACCAATATAGCCACCTTTCTTTGCAAGGACACTCAAAAGCCTGCCATCCATGGATTCTGTCAGTGTTTTGATCTGTTCACCATCAACATTGCGTGCAGCAGCAACCACAGCCTCCCAGACACTGTTCAGAGAGGTGTACTGTTTTCCCTCCTTGTAAATCTCACATTTGATGATGGACCACAGGTTCTCAATGGGGTTCAGATCAGGTGAACAAGGAGGCCATGTCATTAGATTTTCTTCTTTTATACCCTTTCTTGCCAGCCACGCTGTGGAGTACTTGGACGCGTGTGATGGAGCATTGTCCTGCATGAAAATCATGTTTTTCTTGAAGGATGCAGACTTCTTCCTGTACCACTGCTTGAAGAAGGTGTCTTCCAGGAACTGGCAGTAGGACTGGGAGTTGAGCTTGACTCCATCCTCAACCCGAAAAGGCCCCACAAGCTCATCTTTGATGATACCAGCCCAAACCAGTACTCCACCTCCACCTTGCTGGCGTCTGAGTCGGACTGGAGCTCTCTGCCCTTTACCAATCCAGCCACGGGCCCATCCATCTGGCCCATCAAGACTCACTCTCATTTCATCAGTCCATAAAACCTTAGAAAAATCAGTTTTGAGATATTTCTTGGCCCAGTCTTGACGTTTCAGCTTGTGTGTCTTGTTCAGTGGTGGTCGTCTTTCAGCCTTTCTTACCTTGGCCATGTCTCTGAGTATTGCACACCTTGTGCTTTTGGGCACTCCAGTGATGTTGCAGCTCTGAAATATGGCCAAACTGGTGGCAAGTGGCATCGTGGCAGCTGCACGCTTGACTTTTCTCAGTTCATGGGCATTTATTTTGCGCCTTGGTTTTTCCACACGCTTCTTGCGACCCTGTTGACTATTTTGAATGAAACGCTTGATTGTTCGATGATCACGCTTCAGAAGCTTTGCAATTTTAAGAGTGCTGCATCCCTCTGCAAGATATCTCACTATTTTTGACTTTTCTGAGCCTGTCAAGTCCTTCTTTTGACCCATTTTGCCAAAGGAAAGGAAGTTGCCTAATAATTATGCACACCTGATATAGGGTGTTGATGTCATTAGACCACACCCCTTCTCATTACAGAGATGCACATCACCTAATATGCTTAATTGGTAGTAGGCTTTCGAGCCTATACAGCTTGGAGTAAGACAACATGCATAAAGAGGATGATGTGGTCAAAATACTCATTTGCCTAATAATTCTGCACTCCCTGTATTGCCTGCAATATAAAAGAATTAGGCTGAGGGGACAATACCTGCCTGGAAGAACGATTTTGCCAGTCCAGTGGATATTAGGCAAGACCTTATCCTGGAGAATCATTGTAGAAATCCCAGATGGTTCCTGGTGGCAGAGGACAATGGTAAACAACAGTAGGTAAAATAGGTTTAGAACACAATTACGGATGAAAATCTGGGTTTTACATTTTTAGATATGTAAACTAAGTGAATCTTTGAGATAAAAAATATTAGGTCGCGCCAAGAATTATTACAAATTATAATCAAACTAATGTGAAAAAAATGAAAAAGAAGTAAAAAGGATAATGGTATAAAAAGCTATAAAAGAGCAACACAAAAAGTACTTACATATACAATTGTATAATAAAATACTTACATATACAATATTATAAAAGAACATAAATAAGTCTTTGGATGAGTTTAAAACAGTAAAAATCACTCGAGGAATTATGAAGGAGATAATGGTCCAAACGAAGAAGTGGTCAGGAATTTCTTGTTCCAAATGACGATATGTAAAATAGAACAGAGGGAGATTCCAATAGTGTAGTCTATAAAAATCGTATGTGTGGATTCAAGGTAATAAAGGTATCCCACTCACCTATTTAAGAGCTAGGACTAGCTCAGGTTTTACTTCACATTCAGTAGTATACATCCCCCACTGATGGGGTATAGACTTGCGCACGTGGAGAAAATCCTCGGGAAAAATGGAGAGTAACACAAAATAGTGCTCACTGTATAATTGGATGTAGACGTAAATAGAAAGATATATATAGAATACTCACATTTAAGTGAGCAGGAAAATACTGCTCACTGATATAACGTGGGTGGTATAATCCCCACCTAGGATTCTTTGGCACAGATAAAAAGTGCTTGAAATAAAAACCAGGTCCAAGAATAAAATAAATAAAAAATAGAAAATAATAGGAATATGGCAGGAAGAAAAAATATATATTAGCCAATAATCCTTTATTAATACAATATGAGATAATAAAATACTATAATAAAATAGCCAAAACGCGTTTCGCCACACAGGGCTTTTTCAACTGGCATATAGAAACAGAGACCTCTGAGATAAAAAATATTTTTTATCTTTTTGATTCTCCTCTTCCTTTGACGTACTGTGAGGGAACGTCTCATTTTAGGTTGCCGCCCACATCCACACATACCTTGTACTATTCTATTGAAACACCACCATTTAAGTGAATCTTTGGCCAACTTATCTCTGATTGGTTGCTTGGTATTTAAAATTAGAACATGGTATACAGAGAACGTTTTACACTTAAGATTTAGGAAATCATCCCATGCTACCTACTTGGTCTATAGCCATAGGATGGAAACCATGTGGCAGAGTTCAGTGCCATTTATGCAGAGCTTACTGAAAGAATGGTTGAGCCCTGAAATGGTTGCAGTGTACTTTTTGGGTATCTATTCCCCAGTATCTGTTGAGGCTTCTACTACTCCTACCACCCAAAATTGCTCCTCCACAGCCAGTTGAGTGTGATACCTCTAACATTTCAATCCTGCACTGAAGCTTCACTACCTCAGAAGGACAAAAGGGACATCCACTACACACACAATCTGAACGAGGTCTGCAGAAAACTGCAATAGTTGGAAAGGAAATTTCAATAATCTCCCGTATTATGCTGACCAAAGTAACTGTCTAATTCACCTGCCGTCAGTACCCCTGTATGTCTGCTATCTTCAAGGGCTCATGAGCGAACAACTTCCTTTCATGCAATCTTCCTATTCATCTGCATGTTTGCAATAAAACTTTACCAGTGTAGGTTAGGATTCACCGATTTTGGGGTACTCCGTAAAAGTGTTCAGTTTAAAACCAATATGGCCATAAGGTGTGACTTAATCCCCATATCTTACATATAAAATAGGTGTTTAAAAAAAAAAAAAAAGCCTCGATACATTATTTGTGTGTATGTGTGAAGCTATATTAATGAAACTAATTAATGCATGTTTTGGATGTGCCCCCAAATAATGTTTTTTGCTTGCATATGAGTCCTGACAAGGCTTTGGAGAGCACACCTCCCCCTCCCCCTTTCTCAGTCAAAAGTTAAAAAAAATTTAGTTTAGGACCCACCGATAATGTGTCTGTGCGCAGAGCCATATTGCTGTATCATGCTCTTCTTCATGAGACTTGGAATTGGGTGAATCTCTCTTTGTGAGTACCTTAGGTCTGCAATGTAAGTAAAATAGCCTCACTGTGTTCTTAATGATGCTAGGGTCTCTTTCTTTCCTTTTCTAAGTCAACTTAATTGTGTTTTCTAAGTCTTTTTATACTTTTTTTTTCTGCTACTGAGTAAAAAACTGAACATATACAAACATATAACTATGATGTTTATGGCTTTTTCTTTTCCTCATTAAGCAGATTGTTGCTGTGCCATATTTCAGAGTCAGCATAGAATTGTAGCATGTCTGCAAACATGTATGATTTCCCTTGACCAGCTTCTTGTATCTGCTTCTGCTTGTATGTCTCTTGAAGCTATACAATAAAAATATTAGCAAAAAAGAATGAGACATCATTTTCCACTGTGTTTCTTTCACATTTACACTGATGTTTTTGTTTAATTTGCGTAGTAAGAAAAAAACAAGAGGAACATTAATTCCTTTACTGCGATCATTTATTCATGGATCTGCAACATTCCAACAGTGCTATACAATAAGAAGTATATTTGTTAAATCAGGGATTTTCTGGGGTGTTGCACATTCTTGCAAAAAAAGCTGAATTGAAAAGATATGCTTCTTTGGTCCAAAATTTGCAGTTCTCTAGTAAATTCGAACAATTCCTGGTTTATTGTATAAAGCACTAAACAAAATTATGTTGTGTTTAAAAATGTTCAACAATCCAGGGAACATCAGGAAAGGCAGAATACAACAGCCTCTATCAGAAAGGGCTAAAGGGTTTAATAATTCGAAATGCGTCTGGAGCCTCAACCTGCAGCTCAAATAGACATGAAATGGGTTTGCTTGTGTTACCACAGCATTGCACCATTAAAGGAGAAAGTAACACCCCAGCCTTCAGTGATAATGTCTGTATTAAGCACAGAATTTTGTCCACATACACTGAATTGGCAATTTTCATACTTACTTATGCCAAATCCAGCAAAATTGGGTCCTCCTGATGGCCGGTTGCAATAAAATTCTGTTCTTTTTGCATTCGATTTCTAGATACGTGATATAATCTGGACATTTATAAAGCACTGATTCCAGAGAAAATCAGGACCCAATGCATGTAGCATGCACATTCTCAAATAATTGTTCACTTGCTCTTGCAAGTAAACGATAATAATGACCACCCAGTTGCGTGAGGGTTAAACTTTAATAAAGCTTGAAAAAAAATATCTATGTGGGATGGGAGTCATCTAACTATACATCTCTTGGGGGCGGGGCCTGACTGTCATGGAGGAGAGACGTGCTTTGCTCGAGCTCCTCTCCTCCACGAGGCAAAACTGCGATTTTAACCCTCATTCAGCCTCAACTGGAGCGGCATAAGCGACCTACACAACCCCTGACTCACCGGAGACCCACTAAGAGTGTAGGAGGCGAACCTACAGTACAGCTCTATCCATGTGGCCAGTCGTGCACCAGACGGGAGAGGCGGCCGCTCTCCCAAACCAGGGTAGCTCGACGGCAATTAGCACTTAAGCGGAGCCCCGTTACCCACCCTTTTGGACCGGTGGGGGTGATTACGGTCCACCCCTTGGAGGATGCCCTGAGATGGTGGAAAGTGGAGGGAAAGCCATATCATCTACCGCAAACTACGGCGCCATACCCAAAATGGCAGACGAGACGGGGGACCCAGGCAACCTGGAGGACAAATATGGTATCCTGTCCAGACTACACAGAATTGTCAATGATTTCTGATGCAAGCTGGAGAACAGAATGTGCCAGCCAGCTCTGACCCACCCGGGCGACCACCCACCGCACATGCTGACTCCACACATTCAGGTGAAGCCCACAGCTGCGGCAATGCATCGAACTCCAAAATGGCAGCAGGACGGGAAACGGGCCTCACAGGGACACACAGCTGCTCCTCCACAAAAGGGTAAATACATACCTCGGCGGCACCCACCACAGTCCTCAGCTGTACTAGCGACACCCTGGGGGAGAAACAAACACCACGCGCCCCTCAAACACAAGACGCACACACCCAAGCAGAGCAGATGCAGACCTTACAAGTCAGTGACCCTGTGGGGAACCCCAAGCTGGGCAGGAGCTCCAGTCCAGCACCAACAACCTTGGCTACACAGCACACAGCAAGCTTCTCTATTGCTGGACTGTGCTCTGCCCTAGGCTGAATAAGACACTGGGACTGAGCTGAGAGGTGAAGCTGTTCACAGTACTCAATTAACGGGGTACTCAGTACTCAATTAACGGGAATTCTAGTTTTACTGCTGGCTAGCCAAGTGAATGCACCTTTATTATATACATAGAGCTTATCTGAGCGTTCTTTAATTGTTTTCCTCCTGAGGCTCTGTGGAGTCAGTCCCTCACCAGTCACACAGTTTAACCTACCAGTGACATAATCTTGTTGTACCTACTCTTGCTATATCTTGTTACATATCATCACGACAAGCAGCTTGTTTGTCATACTATGCTTAAACAGAAATGCAGTTCTCTGCGCCACAGGGTAATTCTGGCGTACATGACCATGGTGCAATGGCAGGGCCTACCAAAGCGGCTCATGCGACCCTCACTAGACATTCCTCCCTGGGGAAGCCTGACTAACCCTCTCTCCCTCACTGACTTATGCATAACTCCCCCTCAGTTAAGGGCCCTATATTATGATTTATGGTGCTGTATACATTTGTGGTTATATTAACATACACATTGCTGGACCGGCATCACTTTCGCATCTTAGGATAATTATACATAGGCTAGTTGCACCCATCCACTGCTTCTTTCACATTTAGCAAGCCTATTAACATAATCCACCATCTTGAGAAAAAGCCCTCTCCTGGCGTACACTCACACTCATGCAAACAGGTATCCTTGCATTACATATACAACGACTCGCACACCGTTTGATAGCCTGAACATAAAATTAATGCATGTGTTACTGCTTACCATTGTTACCTTTTGCATCTATATTTAAAATATGCAGTTATATCTAATGCCACGGTTATACTATATGTGTTTATACTCTTGCCCCTGCTGTTGTGGCAGCGTAAGACTGATTGTTATTTGTGCACAACAAAAATAAAGAATTAAAAAAACCTATACATCTCTTAGGCCCTCACGCATCATGACCCAGGTGGGGGCATATCTGCTAAACAGTGAGCATCCAGTGGCTAATCGATCTTCCTAAAACTAGTGACTGAGCAGCTGGTTGCTAAACAGGTCCCATCCCCAAATTATTGGCTTTGGTCCCACAGTGCCTCCACCCTTGGGCAATGAGAGGGATATGCCCTTGCTTCCATCCAGCCACTAACTACTCACTGTTTATCATACATTCTTGCAATGCGGGTTGGGGAGGCTTTAAACCGATAGATAGATAGATAGATAGATAGATAAATAGATAGATAAATAGAGGCTCACACTGATCCTCATAGGCATTTATTTATGATTTACTTTTTTTGGGTGGGTGGCAGCAAGTGCTAGCAAGCGACCACATAACTAAACTTGCACTGCTGAGTATTTTTTAAACTGTTTGCCCATTGGCAAATAGTATAAACCGTTAACATCCTGTCCCAGATATTAAGCATCCAAGCCTGAGTTTCCGTCGTTCAGACAATTGTTGGTCATTTAGAGCCAGAATTGCAATTTTTGGATATAGTTAAATACTATGAAAAATGTCATTCCGACTTTAGTAAACAGACCCACAAAATGGCAAACGTGAGCTGTGATTCTACTGCACATAAACTATGCTTTAAACAAATAACTCACTTGGTGCTGTTATGGTCGTGTAATTCAATATTAATGGCTGGACTGAATATGTCATAATACAAGAACAGAACCAACTATATGGTGACAGTTGGCAGCTTCATAGGATCCAAGGGTTATATATGGGCTCTGGAATCATGAATTTGCTTGGCCCTATTCATCCTCTTTATGAAGGATGAAAGGGTCCCCAAACTGATATCTTGCCCAGGGCCCTGTGACATATTAATCCTTCTTTGCATAAAACAAAATCATTTCATGTAGTAAATCAGCAGATGATATAATCTGTTTTCTCGGATTTTTCTTTTTAATGGTAACTTGCTTCTTCTCTCAGAATTTATGTGACAATGTGACGGAGGGCTCCTTGAATACAAGTTAAAAAATATAATTTAAAGCAGATATTCTTTCTCTGTATTAGATAATATTGTTTTATTGGTGTTGGAAAATTATATTTTGTTTTCAGTCCAAAATTATGTTTTGTTTGTATTTAAGCCATGTCTTATCCTTTTATGTTTCTTGTAGAAAAGTCTCTTAATTTCTTCATCCCACATCTTTGCCAATATTTTTTTTTTTTTGTACAGCCAGTTAGTCAACACAGAGCTGCCTGGTTTAGGTTCATTTATTTGCACTAATAGATCACTTTCTATGAAAATCGAACCTTGTGAAATGGAATAGGTAAATGACTTAGATTCATCATGGCAAATGGTTTTATGTGGGCACATACACACAGCTGACCTCATTTTGAAAAGGTGGTATATTCAAACATGTTCAGCATGATCTTGACATGTGATTACTCATGGCATGAGTAATATCTCTGAAGAGCTATGGAACTGTTGTCCAGGTAGAAGATACAACACCTATAGGGTTTTTAGTTCAGCCCTCGCATCCATGAAATTTGATTGTATCACATCACTATTTTAACGGCTCAGAGTTCCTCATCATTAAATAATAGATAACACAGAACAACTGCAAATAATCCAGTTTGCTTCTTTACACGAGTGGTCAATAATTTAGTAAACCATATACAACAAAGATAGCAGCATATTTAATATTGCTATCTTTTTTTCGTCTGATCTCTTGGCTTCCTAAGTCACTGGCTCCAGAAAGACGTCATGTCTTGTCTATAGACTTTTACATTCTGTTCCTAGAATAATCTTTTGTGCATAGGGGACTTGTCTGCCATTCACGTTCTGGGGTGCTTGAAGGTGGTGAGGACAGTCTGAGCAGGCAAGTACATTTAGTACATTTTATAATGTTTGGTTTGTTATTAATTCATTATCAGTGTGTGTATTATACATTGCTATTGGTTTCTCTATAGAACTAACACACACATCCTGATTAAAAAGGTTATTCCCAAATCCGTAGTATTTCAGGTTTCAGTACAAAACCTGTGCTATCGGGAAAAAATTGTAATGTTTCCTGGACTAACAAGCAATGCAATTTTCCTTTTTAAGAGAAATTGGTTTCTGACTATAGAGTATATTAATGGTCAGTTGGTGACATAACTATAGAGTTTCATATTTTGTCGTGCCTTAGCACGGCTCGATTTATCTCGATTTATGATTTATGGTAAAATGTAGTCATTAAACAATTATATTACTCGTGTTTATTGATTTGTAACTTGGACATGCATCATGGCAGAGGCACATTATCCACTTAATTTCCATAGCAACTCCGCCAGGACATTTTGGAAGATTTGCTCCGTGCATGTACACTTCACTTGCGATCGTCTGAGGAAGATAGTGTGTAAATAGGCACTAGCAGCTCCTACTAATTTTATGAGGGATGTTAAAAATTTGGAATCTGCTAATTACCAGTCAATAAGCATTACATTTTGTAATAGGAAACTGATGGCAGTCATTAATTTCAGCTATTAGTTACTAAGAACTCCTGTGTGGCCCGTGTACTAGAGACATCCTGGGCCATACTTTAACCTGAATCGATAGGAATGCCTACCCACACTGTTCTATCACCCACATTCTCTGCACATTGTGCTTCTCATTATTAACCTTTTACCTCATTCACATTAGGTGAGTGGTAGAAGGGGAGCCAGTGGCGTACATACAACCCATGGGGCCTCGGTGTGAAAGCTGATCCGTGGGGCCCCCCCCCCGTGCGCTTACTCTGCGCGGGCTGGGGCCGCAACACATGGCGGCGGGCACCGGGTTGCAGGGCTGCGACCCCTGCGACCACGGTATGTACGCCAGTGCATGCAGATACACATACACTTAAAGGACCACTACAGACACCCAGATCACATCAGCTCAATGAAGTGGTCTGGGTGCCAGGTCCCTCTAGTCTTAACCCTGCAGCTGAGTCTTAACCCCTGCTAGTGAGTGTGTTTTGTAAGTGAGTGAGTGTGTGTCAGTAAATGTGTGTGTCTATTAGCTAGTGTGTATGGGTCTGTTCAAGAGTGTGTGTGTGTCTTAAGCACTTACCTTTCTCCAGCGCCGGACTCCCTTGGCGCTGGGGATCTCTCCGCCCCGATCCGCCTCTCAGCTCCGAATGCGCATGCATGGCAAGAGCCGCGTGCGCATTCAAACCGCCCATAGGAAAGCATTACTCAATGCTTTCCTATGGATGTTCAGCGTCTTCTCACTGAGATTTTCACAGTGAGAATCGCAGAAGCTCCTCTAGTGGCTGTCAATGAGACAATTGTCCTCTACCACATGATCATCGTTTACTCCTCCTATTAAGGGTTGGGATTTCACAACATCTCTACTGCAGATGTGCAGCTCTCTACTAATATTACAGGTGTTAGGGACCTATAGTTTTACATGCAGCCAAAAGAACTATTTATTTATGTATTTATTTATTTAATGAATTCTTTACTGAAAATGAATTCCTCTTCAGTTGGTGTATATCATTTGACTCTGCTCCAGTGAGGCCCAAATTCAGCATGGTGGATAACATAAATGTTCTTACCATGCTGAATCATAGAATAAATAATCACATTCTAATACGCATAGCAAAAATCGGGTAACATAGATCATGTATAATTACTGTACACATACTAAGTGTCACAGTCTGCTTTTCTTCTTACATACGCTTCTTGCACTTGCAGATTCTAGCCATCCGGGATTTGCTCAGATTTTGTTAGCCCAGGCTCCCTAATTAAGATTCCTTAGTTACCTTGCTATAAACAGTTCAGTAAGTTAGGCTAACTCATCAAGAGTTAGATTATCCTGCTACCCCAGAGCCTACACTTTTATTCAGAGCCTTTATTGTACTTCTTTAATTGGAGTTTGTCGCATTCCTGCTATCTGATTACAAGTGTATGACATCTGGTTTGTGTGTTCTGATTTAAAATATTACATGCTTCCTTTGTGACCTTGGATAAAGATAATTATATTTTGCATATTGGATCTTTGATTTGATACTGCATAGGTCTCTATGTTTAAGCTTCAGCTCTCCATATCTTTGATACTATTACGCCCAAGGCAGTGATTAGCTGACTACATTTTATATCACATATGCTCCTCCCATTACGGCTTCGGACATGCCTTGCTGGGCCTGACTACAAATTTCTGTTCAATATACACATTCATTTCTTGGCTAACCTTATTAGATACACGTTTATACCTGCTTTTTAAAGGAACACTCGAAGCACCTCAACCACTACAGCAAACTGTAGTGGTTACGATGCCAGATGTGCCCTGTCACCCACGAGAGCCGTGTGATGTAGGGTTTAGTTAATTGGCGTAGAGTGCAAGGCTTAGCTCGGGAGAGCTAACTGAAGCTCTTGCTTTGAGCTTTCAGGTTTGAATCATTGGTAGTTGAGACAGGGGGATGCGCCCAGGGACATTACCACAAGAAATGAATAAGGCTATTTTAAAGTGCATAAAAGTACATTAATATACATCATTTTAAAGAACGTGATATGTTAGTGCAGTACTACTCTGGCAGTGTGCAGTGTTTTAAAACTTTCTGGAGTTTAAAACCCATAGCAAATGTGTTAACCCCTCCCTCAAGGCTACATTACATAGTTATATAGCTGAAAAGAGACTTGCGTCCATCAAGTTCAGCCTTCCTCACATTTGTTTTTTGCCGTTGATCCAAAAGAAGGCAAAAAAACACAGTTTGAAGCACTTCCAATTTTGCAACAAACTAGGAAAATATTCCTTCTTGATCCCAGAATGGCAGTCAGATTTATCCTTGGATCAAGCAGCTATTACCCTACATTGAAAAATTATAACTTTGAATATTCTGTTTTTGCAAGTATGCATCTAGTTGCTGTTTGAACATCTGTATGGACTCTGATAAACCACTTCTTCAGGCAGAGAATTTCACATCCTTATTGTTCTTACAGTAAAAAAAACTTTCCTTTGCCTTAGACTAAATCTTCTTTCTTCCAGTCTAAACGCATGACCTTGTGTCCTATGTAAAGTCCGGTTTGTGAATAGATTTCCACACAATGGTTTGTGTTGGCCCCAAATGTTTTTGTATAATGTTATTATATACCCACTCAGGCAACGTTTTTCTAAACTAAAGAGGTTTAAATTTGTTAACCTTTCTTCATAGCTGATATATTCCATTCTTTTTATTATTTTAACACTTTTTCTAGTGTCATAATATCCTTCTTTAGAACAGGTGCCCAAAATTGCACAGCATATTCAATATGTGGTCTTACCAGTGATTTATAAAGAGGCAAAATTATATTCTCATCGCGAGAATGAATGCCCATTTTCATGCATGACAATACCTTACTGGCCTTAGCCACTGCTGACTGACATTGCACATTGTTGCATAGTTTGTTGTCTATAATAATTCCCAAGTCCTATTCGTGTGTTGTTATCCCTAATTCGCTTCCATTAAGGGTATACGTTGCTTGTGCATTCTTTACGCCGAAGTGCATAACTTTGCATTTTTCAACATTAAATTTCATCTGCCATTTGAGTGCCCAGTCCCCCAGTCTATCTAAATCCCTCTGCATCAAAGTAATATCTTGCTCGCACTGTATTACTTTACAGAGTTTTGTGTCATCTGCAAACACTGAAACATGGCTTTCAATGCTTTTTTTCCAGATCATTTATAAAGATGTTAAATAGAAGGGGTCCCAGAACAGAACCCTGAGGGACATCACTTGCCAATTCTGTCCAGCTTGAAAATTTACCATTAATAACAACTCTTTGTACTCTATTTTTAAGCCAATGTTCTACCCAAGAACAAGCATTTTCACCTAGACTGATTTCCTTGAGTTTGAACATTAAAAGCCAATCCCCTATAACATCGAGTGGTAGGCAACCTTTAGCACTCCAGATGTTGTGCTTTGCCATCATTGTGGCTGTAAGTATGTAACGGATCCCCTATACTCCAACTGAGTATATCCGGTGTAGTTCTCCCAAATCCCAAGTGAAGCAGTGATTACCCAAACAACAGCTAAGACTTGATGAAGGGTACAAGAAGATTGGTTTATTATGGCCCTGTGACCAGCTTATATACACAGACCCCCAGTAGGGGGTTTTCAGCAGTAACATAGTAAACCACTCCCACAACACGCCCAGGAGTCTCTGTGTCCGGGAGATAATTTAGTGTACTTTGCTCAAAATAATTATCTCCCAGACACTAGTTACAAAATAGAAAACATAAAATATTAAAAATATATACACCGCATATAGGAATCTCAACAAATATTGTATCCCCGGACAGCCTGGATCTGAGCGCCCAAGTTGTCAAAATAGCGCTCAGACCCCACGCATACAGCTGAATCGCCACAGCTGTAAAGTTTTGACTGACCGCACACGTGGCGTCTGCCCAAATTAGTTCCAGAGAAATAGTGGTAACGGTCGGTCACTTTCAGGAGTTCTATACGAACAAACTGTCGAACAGTTACCCTGGCTTGTTCGCCTTGTTCGTACGAACAATCCTACCGAACAGCGCTCTCCTGGCTTGTCATGGAAAGAAGCAGATGTTTGTGTGGTTTTACCGGTGTTCGCAAGGTCGAGGTGTCCGACTTATAGTTCCAGACACTCGATGACCAAGTTCCACTGCCTGCGTTTGTGCGACAAGATGGCCACCGTTTTCTCCAGCATGTGCTGTTCGGTTATACGAACAGCGGCCACACAGGGAGAGCGTTTAAGTGTGTGGTTTCTTTGTAGTTAATGAGCCAGGGGGTGGTCGGTGTTCGGTAGATTGTAACTGCCAAACTGGGGAAATGTATTTGTGTTCAGGAAACTGTATACCACGAACTAGGAGGGAAATGTCTTGTGAACAGAAGGAAAAATAGTGAGTTGGTCACAATGTATTATGGGAGATGTAGTCCTCAGCATGTGGAGTGCTGAAAGGTACATATCCCTGAAGTCTTTTGCCCCTCAGGCCTAGTCCTGCCATTTTATTGTCCTATCTCCTAACACTGTTTTTGTCTCTGTCTTTCTACCCCACCACTTGTAAAGATGCTTGGTATCTTTCTCCCCTTCTCCCTAATCCTCCTTTTGACTCTCTCTCTGTCTCCCCTAAGACGTACTATTCTTTACTCTAGTGCAGTGGCAGGAAAGGCTGTGGTGATTTGATTAGATGTTTCCTGGTATACAATCATAAATGCCCTAGTATCAATCCAAGACTAAAGGACTCCACGTCCAGGACTTGTTCAACCCCTAGCAGTGCCTATGGTTATGATAAATATAGCATTATTCTGAAAAAAATTTACAAGGCAGGCAAAGACAGTGACTGTAAAATCAAAGGGTTTAAACATTCAGGTTGATCTAATCCCACAGTATTAATAGAAACATACAATATGACGGCAGATTAGAACCATTCGGCCCATCTAGTCTGCCCAATTTTCTAAATACTTTCATTAGTCCCTGGCTCTATCTTATAGCTAGGATAGCCTTATGCCTATCCCACACATGCTTAAACTCCTTTACCGTGTTAACCTCTACCACTTCAGCTGGAAGGCTATTCCATGCATCCTCTACTCTCTCAGTAAAGTAGTACTGATATTATTTTTAAACCTTTGCCCCACTAATTTAAGACTATGTCCTCTTTTTGTGGTAGTTTTTCTTCTTTTAAATATAGTCTCCTCCTTTACTGTGTTGATTCCCTTTATGTATTTAAATGTATCTATTATATCCACCCTGTCTCGTCTTTGCTGCAAGCTATACATGTTAAGATCCTTTAACCTTTCCTGGTAAGCTTTATCCTGCAATCCATTAACATTGATGTTAAAATACATTCATTTTGACACTAGTATTGTAAAAGTAAAGAATGTTAAAAGTCATCATCAGAAAACTGAAATATATAAGCCAAAAGCAAGGCAGATCATAAACCAGTAGTGTCTGGGTTAAAAGGAAATTTGGGGAAAACTGATGCTATTGGACCAGTACCGCTCAAATGCATTTCTAATATTACAGTTTTAAAAAAAAAATATTTCCATGTAATAGATTACCACTTCTCTAATACATGAAATCTCCTAGCCACTAGCCAACAATATACTGGCCTTTCAGGGGACACCACTGGCCATATAATATTGAATGTCTGCTGTGTGTCTCTGCAGAAGCTGCAGTTTTGAGTGATGTCAGGTCACAGCTTAGAAGTACTCCAGAAGTGACTGGTGAGGGCAAAGGTGTGGTGCAGTGCAGCAATAAACAGGCAGAGGTGGGAGGTCTCAGCATCACCTCACTGTGCTGCCAGCAATGTAACAATTAAAAATGAAATCTATCAAATAAATGCAATTTTAGGTGATTTTAAAAAGCACGAGGTCCACCCTCATGATTACAGATAAACATTTGAGCTTTCTGATTTCTTTACATATTTTGCATCACATCCTGCAGCAGGTATTCAATTAAAAAAAAAAAAAGAATAAATCACATGCTGTAGTGTTAACCCTTTCCCTACCACCACAGAAGCTCTTTAATCAGTTATGACACCTCTTGAAATGGGCAGTGAAAGAGTTAAGGCTTTTTGCATTAACTTTCCCAGGACTCCTGACTTCAGGGACCAAGACAGAGCATCCTTGTTTCAGTTCTGTCTGTGTTCTCCTGCAGTGAGCAGGCAGCTCTGATTGCTGAATGTGGACGTTATGTAACAATAGAAATGCCTTAGTTGCTCTTGCCTCTGAAACCAATGGGTAGCTTGTGACAGTTCTAGCCCAGGAGCAGTGACTGTAGGAGGGCTGCCAGTCCTCCTGCTCTATTTACATGCACCTCCAGCTGAGGCCAAGTTGTCCACACAGGCGTACCTTGGACCAGTCGCAAGTGACCAATGGTAAGGTTACCTTTTATCTCTGTGCTTGTAGTTATGTGTAAATTCTTTATTTTTATTTATTTCTTATGTAGACACTAATCAGCACCCAGTGTCTTAAATATTGCCTGTATGTTATTTCTTTTTTTCATATTTAATTTGTATTCTGTATTTTCTTTGTAAGTGTTTTGCACAGAAAAAAAGTTACAATTTCATATATAACATAAGTCACACACACACGCATAGACAGACAGACAGACTGACTAATAGATATTATTCTATTTATCACTAGAATTGCAATTATTATTCCTTTTGTCATGTGTAGATGAAGGTGTGTGTGTGTATTAAAATGGTTTAAAACATACTTTTAATTAATTAATAGCTTTCTGAGGGTGTCTGATGATATCAGCCAAGGAGGCGGGGTGGGGGGCAGAGCCAATGCTGGCCATTCAACACCCCTATGCAGAGTATGGATAAACTGAACGTCAGTGCTGCATGTTGTGCACCACTGACCCAGGAAGCACCTCCAGTGCTACATTAAGCTGTAGTTGTTCTGGTAAAAAATAGTGTCCCTTTAAAAAAACAAAAAAAAACGTTCCAACTGTATGCTAGACTGTAATGGCACAACCAAACCAAATTAACTTGATAGCCAAGGCTCTGGGTGCTATGGAAACTATGTAAATAATGCCTGAGTACTCTGCATTCACACTGCACTTTGAAGGCAGAAGTATGTATCTAGAGAAAATGGTAACACCTGGAGATGCTGTGGAAATAATGGTGCTTTATACTTGTCTCCACTGCACTCTTCGTAACAATTTTTATTGGATGAAAGAATCAGGAATTGTCACTATTGAAGAAGTGACAATTTATATTTAACACCTTCATTACCAAGTTATCAGTAAAACTATGACCACCAAAAACACTTTTTTTTTGTTTATTTAATTAGTTTTAGTTTTTTTGGAAACTATTTTGCTGTATGTTTTTGTTGATACCATGGTTGACCCTTGTTCACAGAACATAGACGTAACAGAATAGTGGAGAAAACCAGAATAGAATATTAAAATGGGAAGAATCTCTGGCTCCCATGTGCACACATAAGTGATGGGGATAATTATTGCTATCAATAAGGTTAAACAAAACAAAAAGTTAATTAATGATATGGACTAAAAAAATATATTTTTTAAAATAATTTTTATTTTATTGGAAGGATTATAACATTAACAGCATTATTCTCTAAACTCTGAATTTTTGCAAGTTAAATCCAAATGGCAAAACTGAGCAAAAAGCGCTGATCTGAAAATAATGATGAACTGCCATGAGGTTTGCTATTCAGATTTAATATGGAAAAAATCAGAGTTTAGTAGTGTATAATCCTACAAAGAATATATTTACCAAACAGTGAATTGTGCTTGGTTTGACAACTGACATGTAATATGTGGGTAAACAGACAGCATTGTAAAGAATTATAACTCAGGCAAACTGGAACTTTATTCCAACTGCACTGTTTTAGTCATTTATTAATTTAACCCACTGTTTAGTAAATAAATCCTTAATATGTGCATTCATAAAAATGCTGACTCAGTAACCTTTTAATTAGGTATACATACAGGGGTATCTGGTAAAGTAATTTAAAGTGAATTCAAAATGAGTTTCAAATTTAAGTTCATAATAACTCAATTGGAAAAAATCAAGAAGACAGATTTGAGTCTTGTTCGTTTACGTTTGTCTAAAATGTAAAATTCATTTTGAATTCCCAACAATTCTCCCTTTAGTAAAAAACCATGTTAGTGAGCAGTTAAACCGTTTTTACATGATGTACTCAATGTTGCTGACAATAGTTAGTTTAAAGAATGTATTCACTAAACGGCTGCTTGCTATGATTTTATAATTCACTTGCAAAATATCGAACGAAATATCAAAGTTTGACAAATGTTCCACCTTAAAAATTATGCTGAAATCTGAACTTTTATACATCTCTGCTTTTTTTTATCTCACATTTTACAATTTGGTTCCCAAGTCACCACTAGTCCGTTGAATAAATAAACCCCCATGTATTAGTGATGACAGCAGTTATAAAGTATTCATGTTTCTGTTAGCAGAAGAACTGAAAGATGCTTTTTTTTAACTATTCTAGGTTTGTATCGATTCACTCTTGCATAGTTTTTTATGAGCTGCACTACAGAATAAAAACATTTTTATTAACTAAATATCACAATTTTGTCACTTTCATATTTTTACAGATAAGATTTAATTCTACAATGTAAAGTAACATGAGCCAAAGACACTGGTTTTAAATATACTATAACTTAAAAATCTCAGCTTTAGAAAAAGATCAATGCTTTGCTTTCATTTGTAAAAAACAGGACCGGCATTAGGGATGTGCAAACTGTGCGACACAGCTCGTAGACGCACGGGGCGGAGTGTCTACCTGTGACTGTGTGTGTGAGACTGTCTGCACATGACTCTGTGTGTGTGTGTGTGTGACTGCCTCCCTGTGACCATGTGTAACTGTCTGCCTGCAACTGTGTGTGTAACTATCTACCTGTAAGTGTGTGTGTGTGTGGTGGGGGAGGTGGGACTGTCTGCATGTTACTATGTGTGTATGTGTGCGTGACTGCCTGTAACTGTGTGTTTGAGACTGTCTGCCTGTAATTATGTGTGTGACTGTCTGCCTGTGAATGTATGTGTGACTGTTTGCTTGTGACTGTGTGTGGCTGTCTGTAACTGTGTGTGTGACTATATACAGAGGCATAACTAGAAACCACTCGGCGCCGGTGCGAAAATTGCCCTGGGGCCCCTCTCCCATCGGT